ATAATAATAATAATAATAATAATAAGTAGTAGTAGTAGTAGTAGTAGTAGTAGTAGTAGTTAGTTATTGAACTCAGTGCTCTTAATATAGTCCAGTGTTTCCCACACTTGGCACTTTGATGTTTGGACTTCAACTCCCAGAATTCCCCAGCCAGCACATGTGGACTTCAACTCCCAGAATTCTGTGGCTGGCCTACCCCACAGCCAGTTGCAGAGAGGAAGAAACTATCTACCGATGATTTAAACCATCGGTAGAGTGGTTTAAAGTCCACGCATCTTAAAGTTGCCAAGGTTGGAAAATGCTGACATAGTCCTTGCTATCATCTTTCCTAGAGCTGCCGCAGAAGTTAGCAGAGCAAACTGCATGGATGCATCCTATCAAGTTTTACTCAGAGACCCCGCTCCTCTTTTTGGCTTCCCATTATTTTAAGGCTGCCCTGCTTTCCCCCCGCATGATGAGCTTTGAACCCAGGGTCGCTCAATTCTCTGCACCCTGCCTTTTTTCAAGGCAGCAGCATCTGCAGGGGAGGTTAAAAAAGGCCTCCTTCTTTGCACATGTACTGAGCACGTACAATGGGGGGTGCGTGCTTCAATTATGCTGTGGGGATTGCCAAACACTGCCTTTTTTAACTCCCCTCTCTGCATACACTGCTGTTTCAAGAAGCAGTTTAAATCATCGGTAGACAGTTTCTTCCTCTCTGCAACTGGCTGTGGGGTAGGCTAGCCACAGAGAAGACGACCGCCTCCAGGTGCCAGGATCTAGGTTAATGCTTGTTGGGGTTCAGATGCCGGCTGGAAACTTGCAGCTTAACTTGGGAGATTTATCCGAAGCGGAGGGTAGGAATGCCCGGAATGTAAACATGCCTCCCTTTCAGGCCAACCCACCTCACAGGGTGCTGTGGGGAAAACAGGAGGAAGGAACATGATGCGTATTGCTTTGAGTTGCACAAAATAAAGGCGGGATATAAATCTAGTAAGTAAATCAATAAATAGACGTTATGGCTCAAGGTAAGACAAGTCCAAATCTTGTCGTTACAGAAGGAGGCATTGTAAGAAAGCATGAAAGGTGTGATATCTGGGTATAAATTCTCACTCAGAAGCTGTCCACAATCTGTCCTCGAAATACAATAAGCTAAAAGAGAGATGCAGTTTCTAGCTGCATCTGTCCAAAATCCTGGGGGTCGATGCTGAGCGTAGAGGGCAGCGTTTCCAGCCATTTCATCTCATAAGGATTGAGAGAGACCCCCCCCCATCCCATGGAGTGCAAGGTACCTATAAGGGCGCCTGATTCCCAGTTTCTTACCTGCCAGCATCTTGTGGACCGGAGGGGTGACGTCCACTTCAGCCAACTGATCATAGCTGGCAGGATGATAAAGTCTCACCTGGGCGCTCCCCTGGAGGGTGACCCAAATCCCTACGCTGGAGGTCACCAGGCAGGTCACGCTGCGATTGCTGTCCTGCCCAACCAGAAAGGTGTGCTGCAGAGGAGAGCAAGGAGACCTGGTTGAAGTCTCTGGGAGAGCAGTTTCTCAGGCTGATTGACAGTGATGCCAGGAGCTGTTGTGTGAACATGTAACCGCAGATAAGCCCAGCTCCACTGAAAGAGCGGGAGAAAGCAAGCAAGAAGCTAATGGTTTTGAGTCACTTACATATATAGATCACAGGTAATCCTTGCTTAGCAACCACAATAGGGACTGGAAAATTCATTGTTAAGCAGGGTGATCGTTAAGCAAGGCACATGTGACCACACCCAATTTTACAACATTTTTTGCAGCAGTCGTTAAGCAAATCACTGTGGTCGTAAAGTGAATTGTGGTTCCCAATTGATTTTGCTTGCCGGAAGCAAATGGTGATCATGTGACCCCAGGATGTTGCAACCATTGTAAGTGCGAGCTGCTTGCCAAGCACCCAGATCACGATCACATGACTGTGGGAGCGCTGCAACGGTTATAATGTGAGGACCGGTCATAAGTGGACAACGGTTATAATGTGAGGACCGGTCATAAGTGGATTTTTTAGCTCCGTTGTAACTTCAGATGGTTGCCAAACAAATGGTCATTAAGCGAGAACTACCTATTTGAATGCAATAATTCTTGCTGGAGCTCTTGGGCTACACCTTAACCCTTTTCTTAACAAATTGTAGCAATCAAAACCCAGAAAGATTTGTTCCTTAAACATTCATATTCAGTCCTCCTGAACATACTTGCGAATAAATGGAGAATTTTGTGTGCCAAAATACACCCCCAAAATTGGCTTCAGGTTATCTCCAAGTATATATGGTAATACTTTTGTAAAGTATCTGTATATCCCATATATGCTTGCAGATAAGTCCATCCATGGACAAGCTGACCCTTGAATTTTTAACCAAAATACCATGAAAAATGGATAACTCATAGATAAGCCAGTTGTGAAAATTAAAACATATGATATTTTGAGGGGCAGCATATCCATGGGTGGCGCATTTTTCATATTTTGGTTAAAAATTTGAAGACCAGCTTATCTGCAGCTGGGCTTATCTGAGTATATACAGTCTTTACTACTAGAACAGTGCTTTCAACCTCCGCAACTTGAAGACGGGTGGACTTCAACTCCCAGAATTCTCCCGTCCGCATGGCTTGGCTGGGGGTTTTGGGGGTTTGAGGTCAACGCCCTTAAAGGGGGGGAAGGGGAGGA